GTCATGCTGTCCTCAACAGCACCTTCAGGCCAGCGCCCGGTCTGCAGCTCAGGATGGGCTCAGCCCACTGGACACAGGGCCTCTCCTGCCCCCCCCCTCTGGTCCTGGCTAGACAGTCCCCTGGTGCCACACAGTTCTCTTCAAAGCCATCTTTCATTTCTTCCTGGTCTTCCCTCTTTTCTTTGCTCCTTGTTCTCTATAATGATGGTAACCTAAGAACTGAGACCCAGGAAGACTCAAGAGGAACAGGATTCCCAGCCTCTACCCTCTGAGAATTGAGCAGGCCTGACTGGGGGCCACCAAGCCCCAAGAGGGGGCACAGAGAGTAGCCAGGGTGTACCAGCACTAGCTGGGCACTGACCTGTAGATCTCTCATGGTCAGGATTGTTATTCCCATTTCACAGATGGGAACATGGAACTCCAGGGAGCTTTAGTTATTGGCTTAGGTCTGTCTGACTCCAGAATCTGAGCTTTTCCCGCTAAGGCACATCTGTAGTGAGTTCTCCTCATAAGAGATACAGAACAACCTTGTCTCAAGAAGCAAGCAAGAGTGGGCTGGGGACTCATGGAGCCTCCAGTGTCTGAAATCCCTGGCTTCCTTGATCTCCCAGAACACCTTGTTCATGCAGCAGGGCAGGGTGGGTGGGAATGCCTGGGGAGAGCAGGGGACGGGGCACTTAGCCGAGCAGCTGACCCTGGTGCAGCTGAAGGAGCCTGGGGCTGGGGGTGCAGATAGATCCTATCTGGTTGGCCTCCCAGCTACGGTTCTGTCTCTTCCAGCCTGCAACACCTGGGCAAGCCTTAGTTTTCTGATCCATAAAATGGGGACAGAGTGGCTCTCCTGATGCTGTGTGGGGAGGCTTCACCCAGGTAAGAACTGTAGGTGGAGCCCAGGAAGGCATGTGGAAGCCGCCCATGTGGCTCAGAGCCCAACACCAGCGAGGACCACAAGAGAGAAGGGAAGCAGTGGTCAGCAAGGAGAACGCATATGGGCAGGTGCAAGAAGTGCCCCTGCACTAGCGCTTTCTCCATGCATGCGTAATCCTCAGATGCTCCAACCCCAGGACTGTGGTGGGGGCCTGACAAGGAATACCAGGAAGAGGCCAGGGAGCAGAAGTGAACCCCTGGGGTTTATAACAGCATGTGGCATTTGCAAAGCCCCTTCCAGGGAACCAGGCGCTGGGCAGCCCCTTTGAGGACCGTGTTCAGATGCTCCCCGACCATCGACCATCGACCATTGGTGGCTTGCCTTAATTTTTCGGCCCTACAATGGTGCAAAAACAACATGAACTCAGGAGAAACCATACTTCAGATTTTGAACTTGGATCTCTCCTAGATTAGTGACACGCATTGCAATCCTCTGACACATGCTGGACAGCACACTGTGCCTCCTCGTCAGCCCCCAACCGCGAGGGGAAACACCCGCCCTGCAGTGGACTCCGTTGCTAAGCCAGGGTGTTTGGTAGGATAGGTGACTGAAAGGAATTTTTGACTTATGATACTTCCAACCTGCGAAGGACTTATCAGGACTTATGACGCATCTGCACAGCCAGGTGGCAGGGATGTGGGTGAGGAACCCTCATCCCCTGGGAACAGACTTGTCTCCACCTCCTTCTCGCACAAGCCTGGGCAAGTGACTCAGTGCTCCAGCCTCAGTCTCCTTATCCATACCATGGGATAATAACACAGAGGATTGCAGGGAGTGGAGTAGTTTAGGATTTTGTACGTCTGGTTTCTCAGGCCATAGAGCTTTGGTAAGGCCAGGACTTTGTAGGTTTCTCTCTCCTCCAATTCCCTGCTCGCCTCTCCTCTTCTTCTGCTTCTTCCTGCTTCCTTTTTCCTCTCCCTGGCCCTGGGGTGGGGGGCAGTCATGGGCCAGGGACTCACGCAGCCCCTGGTTCTCTTATAGTTCTGTCCATAGCCCAGGGCAGCCTGCTCAACCTGAAGTCCATGGTGGAGACCGCCACAGGCAGAAGCGCGATCCTGTCCTTCGTGGGTTACGGCTGCTACTGCGGGCTGGGGGGGCGTGGCCTGCCCATGGACGAGGTAGACTGGTAGGTGCCGGAGACCGGGGCTTCCGATGGGACCAGGTGGGGCATCTGAGGTCACTCCACCTCTGTGAGGAGGAAGAGGGGCCTCTCCCCAAGGAAAGAACTTTTGCTATGACCCCAAACACCCATGGGAGGTAAGAGGTGTGTCACTCAGCTCCATCAGACTGGGTGCTGCCCTGAGGGCAGGACTGTGCTTCTGCCATCAGACTTGGGGCTCCCAAAAGCTGTGGCTTCTGCTCCTATCTCCCCAACAGCAGCCTGCACCAAATCTAGTATCACGGGGAGCTTAATAAATGCATACTGGCAATGACTTCAGTCCTATAAGAAGGTGGGGACAGCCACTCTGCGTTTGCTTCCTGTCCTCGATATTCCAGTGCCCATTGACTTTCCAGACCACGCCCCTCCCTGGCCATCAGGCCCAGCCAGGCCTAGCCTCGGAGTCCAGTCAGAGCTCCTCCGCAGGCACTAGAGCCCAGGCCTCTCCCTCCACCCTGACCGCGCTGCTGGACCACCCGATCCACCCCACCCCCGCCACACACGCCCTGCAGTACTTCCTGGGCTTCCTGGGGCTAGGACAAAGAGGCAGAATCCAGGACAAGAGCCCTGGCACCAGCCCCGCTCTGGCCGGCTGTGTAAGCTGAGGCAAATAACTACCACTCTGGGCAGCAGTCGGAAAAGGTCGGACTCAGGAAGGGCCGACGGATGAGTTTGGGGCCAGGAGCCTACAGATGACCCAAGGTCTCTGCTGGGGGGAGAGGGACGGGCTGGCAGCACCTGCCTGCTCACCTCTGCCGCCTCCAGGTGCTGCCATGCTCATGACTGCTGCTACCAGAAACTCTTTGACCAGGGCTGCCGCCCCTACGTGGACCACTATGACTTCACCATGGAGAACGACACCGTGATTGTGTGCAGTGAGTCCCTTCCCTCACACACACACACACACACACACACACACACACACACGCCCGGGATGCATGGACACCAAAAAGTAAATGTTCATAGAAGATTAATATTAGCATAGAATTAAAAATTAGCATAAGCCACTCACTGGGTGTGAGTACTAAGGAGCTCCAGTATGAACCAGAGGAAGTGCTACTTTGTACCTTACAGTCCTTGCTGATCACTCCCTCCAGGGTGTGGGTCCTGGCCCTGGGACTGGAGGGAGGAGGTCTGGAGCGTGGAGATAACCTGCAGGGTGAGCCTTTGCTTCTTCGGGTGACTTAGGGAAACCCAACTCCATTTCTGGGCCTCGGTTTCCCCAACTATTCCATGCTGGACTTCAACTGTACGAGCTGAACTTCAGTGGTTCCCCAATTTCAGCCTGCACCAGAGTCACCCGAAGGGCTTGTGACAACATGGACGGCTGGGCCCCGGTCCAGAGCAGCTGACCTGCAGGCTGGGGCACGGCCCGAGGGTGGTGCTGGTGCTACTGTCCCCAGAACACATTCCGAGGGCCACTGGGCTCTCAGAGTTGTGCTCCAGGTGCCCGTGTCCCGGGCCTCCACCTACAGCCTTCACCCCCCGCCCCACCCACAGGCGAGCTCAACAAGACAGACTGTGACAAGCAGACGTGCGAATGTGACAAGAGCGTGGCGCAGTGTCTCAGGAACCAGACGTACCGGGAACAGTACCGCAGCTACCTCAACATTTACTGCCAGGGCCCCACGCCCAACTGCAGCATCTATGACCCGCCCCCAGAGTTCATCTGTGGACACCACTTCCCAGTGACCCCTGCCCCTCCCTAGCACTCCTGAGGTCTGAGCGAAGTGGGTAGAGGCTCTGTCTTGGGGACCAGACAGATGGAGCAGACAGGGGTGGGACCAGGGCAGGAGCCCAGGGGCCCTGCAGCAAGTCCGGCCTCAGAGGACCGGGAGACGGGGCCCTGCCTGTGGCCACCTGCTCTTCCAGACCAGCTCTGGACATGACTTTGTCCTGGTGCTGGTTCTGGACTTGGTGGGAAGCGTGTGGCTTGTTGGGGTCTCTCCTGAGTGTGGAAGGCAAGAGCTGGGAGGTGAGAGTGAGTCCTCTCTGTCAGCCCAGCTTGATTCTCTGAGCCTCCAAGACCTGGCCCCCAGGCCTCCGGCACATGCTGGGCTGTGTCCCGGGACCCAGCTCCCAAGCATGGACAGGGCTGTGAGGTGGGGCTTCTGGGGTCCCTGGCCAGCCCTGCAGGATGATCAGGATGATTCTTCTCTGCTCTGGGGGCCTGTGGCTCTCTAGAGCCCATTAACACGGGAGGTGGCCCACCCCACATCCATCGAGGTGACACAGGGGTGCAGGTCCAGAGGACAGGTCCCAGCCCCCAAACCCCTGTCGCTCAGAGTGCCTCCGAGCAGATTCCTGAGCCCACATGCAGCCAGGCGTCAGGTGCAGGGTGGCACTCCCTTGAGCACACAGAGACAGGATGGGGACGCCCAGATATGCCCGCAACACTTACAGCTCCTCTCCTCGCCTCTCTGACCCATGCACATAAAACCCCCAACCCCCACCGCAGGACACCACTCCCTGAGGAGGACCTCTGAGCGCCCTGCAGCGAGCACACAGGGCCCAGCCTCCAGGCCCTCGCTTGCAGCCACCAGAGGCAGGAGGTCAGGGACCCTGTCACCCTGTGCATGGGGAGCCAAGTGTCCGGAGTCCTGTCCATGGGGAAGGAGCTCACCTGACCCACCTCAGTGAAGAGGGACACAAAGGTGGAAAGGAAGGGCACTGGGAAGAAAATTCCAGAAGGCAACGGGGTTGGGGGAGCAGAGTGGGGAGCAGGCAGGGGGGATGGGAGCCAGGAGAGAAGGCAAGAGCCAGCTCTTTAGAAGGGGTGGTGTCTGGAGAAGGGACAGGAATGAGAGAGGCACTGGGGTGGGGACACCCGTGGACCTGGGGACTTGCAGGCTGAGGTGAGGCTTCTCTGCTGTGCCCAGCACTGCTGTCCCCCCAGATGCACCTTCCTGTGGTCACTTATTCCCTCGGCTCCACCTCAAGGTCAGCAGCCTCCATCCACCTTCATACCATGTCCACCCCAAGGACCCACAGAGGCTGCGCCTGCCTGGACACTGGGAACAACCCTCAGAAGGTTCAGCCTGCCCTGGCAGTGCCCACAGGGCAGTGCCCACTGTCACTAAGGAGGGAAAGCCAAGCCAGGGGGAGGAGGCCGGGAGAGATGTCCAGGAACAGACAGCAGGAGGGGCCAGAAGCCTCACTGAGCAGCAGCTTCTAGAATAGCAGCCTTGGGACTAAGGGGGAGGCTGCAATGGGGCCACTCGGCATGGGGGCCTCCTCGTAGGCTCACCTCAGGACATGATGGTCAGCTGCATGTGCTGCCAGACCTGCCCAGTCACGTGTATCTCCCTTGTCTACTCTCCAGGAGCCCAGCCAACCAGCTGCCCTGCTCCACCCCTCTGCGGCTAGCCCCCACGAGACCCTGGGTCAAGGCTCCCACCAGGCCAGGGGCAGAGCAGGGACAGGGTACCTGGAGCCTCTTTCATGGTCTTGACCCCTGACCTGTGGGTCCCTCCTCACAAGCCCACACACCCTCCCCTCTGGATGCTGGGCCAAGGTGCAGGAGGAGAGTCTGCTGCTATGGGTCCACCCATCCCTACCTCACCCCAGACTCCAGGAGGCCACAGCCCCCAGAGCACCCCAGGACTTCGCATCCCCTCTGCAAATTAATAAAGACCCCACTCTGGATCCTGAGTGTCTGACTTCCCTTCCTACTGTGGGGTCCTCCTTGGCCAGGCAGTGAGAGGGGGACACAGGGACCCCTCCCAGGTCTTCATCCCTTGGAAGACAGATTCCCCCAAACCCAGTAGCTGACATGGCCTGTCCCCCGCCCAGGGCTGAAGTGGCCCTGCTCCAGCACAGAGAGGCAGAGGGTGGGAACGTTGGAAAGCAATGTCAAGGCCACCGGGCAGTGGGGCGGGGTC